ATTGCTACCGTGGTTATTGTGATGATATTGATATCAGTACTTGGTATATTGACAAATGTCTACAATGCGCGTTAATGAAAAAATATGAAAAAAGATCGTTATTTTCAAATAAAATCATTACGTAGCCAAATGTCTACACTATGCAGTGTATGGTTTTAATGTCTTATAATCTTAAAATTATTATGTTTATTGTATTTTTAAACAAGAGCCATGCCAGCCCGTAAATTTGTATAGAAATAAATAAATATTGAAAACAATCGAACTGGCTACCGGTGATATTATTGAAACGGATAATATGTTTGACGATTTCTCAGAACCCCGAATTACTAGAAAGAAATATTATGGAATTTTTTTTGTATAAGATTTTCAAAAAAATCAACAAAGGAACTCAAATAATGCCCTCCTTTTCTTTCTAAAAATACTTAATAAAAATGTACTTGTATAAGAACTGCACAACGGGTAAAAATCGTTTTAAATCGGATTACCGTTATACTTAATGATATTCATAAACAAATAAACGTATTGCCAACAAACTGAAGACGTCGTCGTTGTCGTACTTTTGTTTGCCAAACAACAACTCTAAACTACAGTTGTGTTTGCAATTCTTATAATAAAATAATATCGTAATAATACGAATACCTACATAAATGTTATACATTTATAATAAATTAATATGAAAAATATAGCGTTCGTAATAGTGTACATATTATTGTATGCACCTGCAGGTTTTTTCATACTATTATTACGCACAATTTAAATTTAAATTGTTGGTTTACATTTTATAAGTTTAATAAAATTTACGACAACTGTAATCGCACATTTTGTTTTCCCATTGGAGGTTTTAGATTCTGAACTTAGCGAGAAATGTATTGATTACTATGATGTATGCTTATTTTTCTGCCTGTTAACAATTTTTCTACCACAAAGCTTAATTATCAAGTGTACCAAGCTGATCATCAAGTGTATAGGCATACGCAGAGTATGTGCAAAGGTGTGCAGTTCCCTGTGAGCTGAAAACAAAATTTACTCATTCTGGGCTGTATGTAATCAAATGCTAATGAGGTGTGAAAGATTTTCATTTTGCCACTGTTAAAAAAAGTCGTTTTTAGATATCTGAAGTATTTTTCATTCTAATTTGGAAAAACAAAATAAGACGAAAAATACGACTTTTTTTTCAAATTACGGCGCAACGATTTCCTTATTTTAAATTTTTACGGCTTATGTCTGAATTTCTCTCTAAGCTTTTCTTATACCTGTAATAAATTAGAGAAATTTATGTATTCCATCTTCTCAACTATTCATCTGTAGTAGTGGTTGTACCAGTCCCTATTATCAGCTATTTTTTTTTTAGAAGGCAGGATGTAAGTTACATCCTGCACAGTAAAAAATTTATCTGCACACACTGCAGATGGTCGCTGGTGATTAAAACAAGCTAAATCATAGACAAAACCACGTCTCATAGTCAACGAATCTCGTACATTGTTGTTGTCCTCCCCATCCCTACGTGGAACTAAAGTACCTAATTCAAACATTTATATTCTTCAACGACCATCACTGCAAACCCCTCAAAACCGTTTCCTCGTTCGGCCGCCGTCTCATTGTCAATTATTTATCTGCAGTCCGGACCGCCACACGTATATTCTGCAGAATAATAATATTATAAACACCGGAAGTCACCATTTTTCTGAACCTACATAATTCTTGAACCTATTCTATCACTGTCCTCTCACCTAATACTCAGAAAAAAATATTTGCATCGAGTATCCAGCGTTCTCGTCTGCCATCAAATTATTTATCTGTTTATCTAAAAGAACATATCTCGACATGACCAAACCGCGGGTTCTGTAACAGAAACTTGCAATTTCGGTGTTCCCATTTATATCTTTCATGGTGTATAGGGTTGAGATAATAAAGGACCTGCTCAAATCAACCAATGTTTTTGTCGACAACATCAAAATTACAAAAGCTATAAATATTGTTTTTAATCACAAAGGTAGCCTATGCAAATACGTGCCTACAATAATTGATTTCTAGATTTCACCCCGAATATTTTTAATATGGGCGTGAAAAGGGATGAAAGTTTCATGAAGCAAAATTGTTTCGTAAAATATAGAAAATTAGTGAGATAAACAAAATCCACGTAAGAGTCGGAATGTAAACGTGGGGACGCGTTGCAAAAACACATATTTCTTAAATAGTTTAAAACTATGGGTTTTATAATCGCCGGAATATAAGTATAATATACCCACCCACACATATTATGCATGGTAGAAAAATAAAAAAGCCCATTACGGGGTTTGCCATCAGCCACTACGTGATTTCGTTCGATTTTCAAATCGGCAAGACAATATTACACCGATTACACATTATTACACCGGGGCACGTGTGTTTTATTTTAAGTAAATTATTATTATTATTTTTTTTTTTTTCAATACGGACGATAAAATAAAGGTAATCGCGCGCAACGAGTACGTATATAGAGTAATAATTTTTTGTTGTGCACACGCTAAATATCACCATAATTCGTTGGCATGGCGTTGGTGGCGTGCAGTCGGCAAATGTACCGCGAAAATATTTACAAATGGTGCGTGACGAAAGTTCGCATAATAATAATAATTTTAGTGTTTACGAATAAAACGCGAGAAAAAAACCACCACATTATATACTTAAATTTATTGTCCGTATACCTATATGACGATTAATGTGCCGCTATAACGCAGAAAAGTCATATACCGCGAAGATAATTATTTTAAGAGGGGCCGTATTTAATCGATTACGTATTATATATTAAACGATTATCTCGAAATTAAAAAAAAAAGAAAAAAAAGCTGTCCTACGATAATGGGGATGGGTGCTGCCACTGTTATTGGTGGTTTATCTTAATGTATATCTGTAAGCAGCGATTAACCATTGCTAACGAAAAACGATTCTGATCCGAGTTCGGTTGATAGTGTTACTTTGTCAAAAATGTAGGTATATATAATCAATGATCAAGTAGAATATCCTATTAATTTTTAATGACAAAATAATTTACAACTGTTTGCGTTGTTTACGCATTTATACCTCAAACGCAGATAAAAAAAAAATTATACAATTGTTTTCAAATTAAAAAAAAAGAAAAGAATTTCAAACAATTATATACGTATAACTCGACAAACGTCGGAATTTTTTGAAAATCAAACCCCGTCTAGAAAATACCGATTTAAGAATTCGGTCTCTACGATTGTCTTTATGACAGTGTTACATTAAACAAAAGAGAGAAAAAAAAGACCTACTTTGAATCTTTTATAAGATAATATAAACACTGCGACAGTTTTGGATATTATCAAACGAGTCACGCTGTGTACGCCCAAATCGTTGACGTTATCTTACGATACCTATACAGTATACATATTCTCGTATATACGTATACTATAAAACGTTGTTAGTATACACCGTATATAATATATTTTATGCCGTGACACTTAATGCGCTGGAGTTGCCAAATCGTTCTAAACAAGACCGTATATACACTTACTATTTACAGTGTTGTTACAGTTGTAGTGTTCTTATCCCCCGTCCCCGTCCAAATCCCCGAATACAGTTCTAAATATTGTAAAATCCCAAATTTAAGACGGGCGCGCGGCATGCACGAGAGTAAAAAAAAAAAAAAAAAATCGATATTTAATTTCGTCGCGAATACTGCACTCACTATACAGCTGTTTCGCAGGGCTTTCGTTTCCAGGCTTTTGACGGGCGCTCTCTCAAACGACTGCTGTCTGCGCAGTGCGTTTAAATTCCAATAAATGTTTGATCGGGACGCACGGAGCTTATTTCGGATCAGCAGCCGTTTTGTTCTCACGACATGTTATACAATAAATATATTAAAAACAAAGCATATAAAAAAAAAAAAAAAAAAACAACACAACATGGCACTCAACTTTTCATGT